AGTTGAATATTCCAAAACTGCCAGCATGTCTTGATGGTAAAAGCTTGGGCAAGAAGACAGATGACCTATTAGCTTTGTGATACCTGGCAGTTACTTAACCTTTCTGAACCATAATTGCCTCATCTGCATAATAGAGACAACAATACCTGTCCACTCTCCTTGTAAGAACCAAGTTAGATGATACTTGCGAATGTTCTCTAGTCTTTTAGACAAATACAAGGTATTCGTATAGCAGGAGAGCATGATGTCATGGGTAGTCATCTAGTTGAATGTTTAAGACTTATGAGTCATATTTAAAACTAACCTTTATTCCTTCTGTATGGATTTCCTTTTTAGCCCTATATACCATATTTAATTTTTGAGAGTTGATCTAAAAAAGACCTTCCTAGCATTTTAGAGATTTGGTTGACTTGATTGTGATTGTGCACTGTTGTAAATGTTGGAGCAGAATTACATGGCACCAATGAATTTATTATTTATAAACAGATATATAAACTCATGCTCTCCTTAGCAATATTGTGTAGCCTCTTTGCCTTTTATGTAATAAAGACTCATCTGAATGGCTAATATATAAAAATTACCTTAGAAGCTCTTAAACTTTTATCATTTTTAATGCAGTATATGAAATTATTGAAGAGGTCAGTTTTAAAAAAGGAAGTTAAAAGACTGAAAATTCCCCACTTTACTATTATGATTATTCCTGAGTACTGTCCAAGTCTGCTATTGATGTCAGAAACACTGCTACTCAGGAAGTAGTAGGGACAGTTAGTATGTTGTAGTGTTATTTGCTTAATTATTCAAGTAAGGTTTTACCCTATTAGAGAAACTCCAGAGATTGCTCATGGGTGATAATCCATCAAATTTCTTAGAGCTTATAATTTGGGTTTAGCAAAGCCTATGCTTGATCTAATGATTTCAGTGAGTTCACTGATGCCTTCCAAAGGACATCATGAAATGATGTCAGCACTGTCTTTTCTCGTGGCTTAATGAGCCCATTGGTACGTTTTTACTGGACACTATTACATTATTCTGTGTTAAGCTGATGGGAGATCAGACATGATCCATTCCCTCGGAGAAATTATCATTCAGCTAAAGACTGACCGTCGTTGGCAAATACATTCACAATGAACAAATGAGTAGGGAATGAAGTGCTGAATGATATGTAATGTGGAATTTTAAAGGAGCAGGAGGAGAGTGTGTGTAGGAGTAATTAGAGAAGGTGTGCATACATGATTTAATATCTGAACTGGGTCATGAAGGATAAGCAGGATTTAGTCACACAGAGAGAAAAGAGTTTGCCAAGAGAATGGAACAAGTCACTTACAGGCAATAATGTGTATGGGGCTCCCAGGACTTTGGCCTGATCAGAACAGCAGAGATGAAACAATTAGTAATATACAAAGTTAGCTAAGTAGGGTGAGGCTAATTTTGAATACCAGATAAAAGAGACTAGATTTGATCTGGTAAAGGGGAAAAGAAAAGCGATTGTAAGTTTTTGTGTAAGAGAATGATAAGATGAGCATGGTTATTCAGGCAGTGGTTATTAGAGTTGAATGGAATAGAAAGGATGTCGAGTACATCAGAGGAACATTGCAGTCACACAATGAGATGGCGAGGGCTGAGCCAAGAAGGTGGCTGTGGGCTGGAGAGAGAGGGATGGACAGGAGAAGTGTTTTAAAGGGAAAATGAGCAGGACTTCTCCACTGATCAGATTTGAAGGCTGTACAAGAAATGTATTGTCAAACATGATTTCAAGATTTCCAGCCTGTGGCTCGGTGGTCCCAAGTATCTAGAAACTATTGTCAGAAACAGAAAAGTTAGGAAGTTACATTGCTCTGACAAAAAGTGTGGGTTTGTTGTCAGGTACACCTGACTTCAAGGCTTGTGAGTAGGCAGTTAGCATTGAAGAAGTGTCACTCATGGGGGCCTGGGGATGGACTTTTTCACCAGGTGATTAATTACTAAATCTATGCAGATGTTCTGCTTTGAGGGATGCCTGTGTTAGGCTTCAGGATGAAAGCCAAGTAATATTTATTCAGACGCTATTTGTCCCTCTGATATTTGCTTGTGGAACTGATGAGAAAATGATATATAAAGAACTAACCATTTTTTCAACCAAAAAACAAAACAATACAAAGGTAAATGAGACCAATGAAAGGCAGGATAAACTTCTTTAAGGCTGGTATAAAAAGGGTATCATTAAAAGATTCATTATCAAAAATAACCTTAAGAAAAGACTTGTTACTATGTTAGTGGTAATAAAACAATTTTTCAAATCTGTAGTTAAGATGCCTCAGTACTTTGGGCAATTTAAGCAGTTAGTATGGACACTTAATAAATACTTATTAAAGTTACTCTGCAGAATGGCTACCATCAACAAATCAACAGACAAAAAGTTCTGGTGAGGATGTGGAGAAAAGGGAACCCTAGTACACTGCTGGTGGGAATGCAGACTGGTACAGCCACTGTGGAAAACAGTATGGAGTTTCCTCAAAAAATTAAATATGGAACTGCCATTTGACCCAGTGCTTCCACTTCTAGAAATATATCCTACGAAACCCAAAACGTCAATCAGAAAGAATGTGTGCACCCCTATGTTCATAGCAGTGCAATTTACAATAGCTAAGATCTGGAAACAGCCCAAGTGACCATCTGTAGATGAGTGGATAAAAAAGCTATGATACTTTACACAATGGAATATTACTTAGCCGTAGAAAAGAATGAAATCTTACCCTTCTCCACAGCATGGATGGACCTGGAGAATAGTATGCTAAGTAAAATAAGCCAGACAGAGAAAGACAAACACCAGAGGGGGGGGGAGGGCTAGAGAGGGCGAATGGGGGAGAGGGGAAGAAGAACATATGTAATACTTCCAACAATAAAGATTAAAAAAAAAACAGAAACTCTGCTTCGTTCACTCTAAGATGCACTTTTTCTTTAGCATCTCTAAATTTGGATTGTGTATTACAGCTGATGTCATTTTATTGTTCTTGTTGACTATGCAGCAGTCACAATATAATTGCCATTGCCTGAGCCAATTTATTTTGCTTAATTTTATTAGATATATACAAAAATTACATATGATAAATCTATCCAAATAAGTGTAAAATAACTCTTTTGAGTAAATATACAATAATAGTTCTAAGTGATAAAATAAACAGCAGTTTTATTGGCTGCATTTTTAATTTCTTAGTGGTACATAAAATGGTAGATTTTACAATGATAATATCTTAGATTTAATGAAATATAATATTAAAAGAGAGCTGATCACCGCAAATCTCTACCAGTGTGCTAGAGATGGCTGGAGTATATTCTAAATTTGCATCCTTTCACCGACCTACATTAGAGGTGTCCCTTGGGTTATTTTCATTTGGACTGGGAACATTAGGAGGAAGGATTTTCATTCAATGGTGTAAGTACCGCCTGCCAGGAATAGAAACGTCCTTGGAGGATCCATTTCTTTGGTGGTACAGAATCCAGAACATTCACAAAAGTCCAGGTATTAGCAGAATGGACATCTGTGTTTTACTCAAACCAGCACACCCTTCCTAACCTCAGACCATTGTGCACTGCAAGCAGTGCTGAGCAGGCTTGCTCTTCGTGCGAAGGGAGAATAAATGAACGAGGGAGTTGGTTGGCGTTTGGGGATGATAATAAAGTCTGTTGGTGGTAGCAAATGTGATCTCTTGTAAAAGTGGAGAACAGAAGCATTTGTTTCTCAAGGCCAGAGTTTTCAGCCATCTCTGCAGTGTGACATATTGACGAGGCAGGTTGCCTTTCCAGTCGGTAACACTTCATGGACAGGAAAATGATCCCTTTTCCTACTGCTTGGCACATGTGTGTCCTCTTGTAAGTCCATGCCCCAGAACTGAACGCAGGGATAAAGTTAGAGTGGGCTTCTCTTACTGCTGAGGGGAGAAATGAATCTTGGAGACACGCAGATGCGCGAGCGTGCGTGCGCGCGCACACACACACACGACCCCGTTTCCAATAAAAGAGAAGCTTCACTCTCTTAGATGGGTTCTGTATATAAGCCTGAGAAACCCAGGGGTGAGGGGCTCCAAGAATTCTGGAAATAAATGTGGAGCCGCCTATGGGAGTCATTTGAATGGACTTCAGTGCCTTTTTGATCCTGACTTTTCCAGTTTTCTCTTAAGCAGACACTGTTTTCATGATATCAGCCTTAGGCATAGACACATCATTAAAATCAATGTGTAGAAAATGATTTCTGTTTGGAAATAAGCAAAACATTTTCAGTTCTGACCACCCAGGTGCAGTAGGAAAACCCTGGAGCTGGGGTTGGGGGCCCTCATTCTACTGTAATCTTTCTTCGTGACATGAGACAAGTCCTCTGTGGCCTTTGGTCTCCTTACTTGTAAAACAGGATGCTGGGTCTTCTCTGCTGTAATAGATTATTATGGGAGAAAAAAACGTCAATGAAAAGGCCCCTTATAACTCCCTGACTTCTGTTTTATTGTGCTATTCATGCCTAGTTATCACATAGCAACAAAGGCCCACTCAGACCCCCCCAGGCCACACACTCCTGCAAGAGGACCCTGTTGCTAACTTGGAAAAAAAAAAAGTACTATTACACTTAGAGTTGTTGCTTAGTAACATTTCTGATGTTGTGTTCCTTGTGACAGCCTGAGCAGAGATCATTAAAAATTTAACTCCCAGAGCTCCTAAAGTGAGAGGAGGAAGGCGGAAAACTTGAAGCCACAATCTTTTTCATTTGCTTGGACGCCACCAAATCTCGGGGTTCGATGCTAAACCTCAGAGAAAACATTGCACGCCTCTGGTTTATATTAAACCACGTACAGCACACTCCTGACATTAACTTGTGTCTGGTGCAGCTGGAGTTTATCACCGATCCATAAAAAAAAACCAAACCTTGACCCTGCAGAATGGCCTGGAACGACAATCAGATGGGCTGCATCGTATCCCTCTGCCAAAGAAAGCCCTAACCACTTTCATGCCCTGTTTCTGCTTTCTCCCCACAGTTCCACCAGGTGCGAAGAGTGATGACCATCCTTTTCCTTACTATGGTTATTTCATACTTCGGTTGCATGAAGGCTGCCCCCATGAAAGAAGCGAGCGTCCGAGGACAAGGCAGCTTGGCCTACCCAGGTGCGCGGACCCATGGGACTCTGGACAGCGTGAATGGGCCCAAGGCAGGTTCCAGAGGCCTGACGTCTTTGGCTGACACTTTCGAGCACGTGATCGAAGAGCTGCTGGATGAGGACCCGAAAGCCCGGCCCCAGGAAGAAAACAATAAGGACGCGGACATGTACACGTCCAGGGTGATGCTCAGTAGTCAAGTGCCTTTGGAGCCGCCTCTTCTCTTTCTGCTCGAGGAATACAAAAATTACCTGGATGCTGCGAACATGTCCATGAGGGTCCGGCGCCACTCCGACCCGGCCCGCCGCGGGGAGCTGAGCGTGTGCGACAGCATTAGCGAGTGGGTCACGGCCGCGGATAAAAAGACTGCAGTGGACATGTCGGGCGGGACAGTCACGGTCCTGGAAAAAGTCCCTGTCTCGAAAGGCCAGCTGAAGCAGTACTTCTACGAGACCAAGTGCAATCCCATGGGTTACACAAAGGAGGGCTGCAGGGGCATAGACAAGAGGCATTGGAACTCCCAGTGCCGAACTACCCAGTCGTATGTGCGGGCCCTCACCATGGATAGCAAAAAGCGAATTGGCTGGCGATTCATAAGGATAGACACTTCCTGTGTATGTACACTGACCATTAAAAGGGGAAGATAGTGGCTTTATGTTGTATAGATTATATTGAGACAAAAAATTATCTATTTGTATATATACATAACAGGGTAAATTATTCAGTTAAGAAAAAAAAATAATTTTATGAACTGCATGTATAAATGAAGTTTATACAGTACCGTGGTTCTACAATCTATTTATTGGACATACCCATGACCAGAAGGGAAACAGTCATTTTGCGCACAACTTTTCAAAGTCTGCATTACATTCCTCGATCATGTTGTGGTTTGTTGCCGTTGCCAAGAATTGAAAAACGTAAAAAGTTTTAAAAAGATAATAATAAATTGCATGCTGCTTTAATTGTGAATTGATAATAAACTGTCCTCTTTCAGAAAACAGACAAAACAAAACAAAACAAAAACCGACAACAAAAATTTGAACCAAAACATTCCGTTTACATTTTAGACAGTAAGTATCTTCATTCTTGTTAGTACTCTGTTTTACTGCTTTTAAAATTCTGGTAGCATTGGAATTAAAACAATGTCAAGGTGCTGTTGTCATCGCTTTACTGGCTTAGGGGATGGGGGAATGGGAGGGGTCTATTTTTGTTTGTTTTGTGTTTTTTTTGTTTGTTAGTTTTTGTTTTTGTTTATAAGTTCCCACAGGGACTAGGGATGGGGAAAGAACCCCTTCAGTATATATTCCGGTTGATAAAAGACTCATTTTTATGTTGTAGAGATGTTTGCAGTATCAATCAGACGACTAGAAAGTGAATAAAAATTAAGGCAACTGAACGAAGTGCTCACTCCAGTTCCCACAGTGCACCTCCTAGGCTCTCACTCACCCTTTGGGCCTTGGTCACAGGGAAAGCTTGTTTTGTTGCAAAGACCGACATTAACTTAGAGCACATTCTCTCCCCCCCACTCCCTCTTTGGTCCCTTCTTGTTTTCTCTTAAGGAAGAAAAATCAGTTCCGTGCTCTGAAATAGTTTACCACTGCTGTGAATGTTTGAACAAATGTCACATTATGGCACTCATAAGCATGGAGAATAGTGACTTACTTTCTTTCTTTCTTTCTCTTTCTTTCTTTCTTTCTTTCTTTCTTTCTTTCTTTCTTTCTTTCTTTCTCTCTCTCTCTCTCTCTCTCTCCCTCTCTCCCTCCTTCCCTCTCTCCCTCCCTCCCTCCCTCCCTCCCCCCTTCCTTCCTTCCTTCCTTCCTTCCTTCCTTCCTTCCTTCCTTCCTTCCTTCCTTCCTTTTTTAGATGAGAAAAAGAACAAAGCTTAAAGACAAAGATTTTTTAAAAAAAAATAAGAGGTAAACAATTTGGGTAAATCATTGTAAGGCTTAAAAGAAAAATCATGGTAAGGCTTAAAAATGTCTTGCGAGCAAAAGGTGGAGTTCTGTATGGACCCAGAGACACCTAGATCAGAACAGGTGCCCACACGGCCGGTGAAATGAGACTGAACATTGGCCATATGGTGGCTGTGTGGAGCTGACATATTTTCTGGCGGCGCAGGAGGAATTTCTGAGTGGCCATCCTGAGGTCTCGGTGGGGGTGGAAAATGGTACTTGAGACATTCCAAAAGGGAGGCCTCTGAAGGACCCTTCAGAGGTGGCTCTGGAATGACACGTGTTAAGTTGCTTTGGACCTCCCGCTTTAAGTGCCTACATTACCTAACTGTGCTAAGAGGTTCTCTCTGGAGAACCATGCTCAAGCCGACTTAAGGCCCTCCACCCCTGGATAATTGCATAAAGCTGTCTTAGCCTGGAGCAGGCTCAGAACCAAGTGCGACATTGTGATGATGAGACCTATGCTATGAGATACAACGCGTTAGCTACCTGAGCACTGACAGCTTTTAAATTAGACTTGAGGAAACCAGGGTTTTGTCTTTTGAGAACTTTGGGGAAGGGGGAAGGGAACAGGAAAAGACCCCAAAAACTCAGGTTGAATGATCAAGGCTACCAATAGAAAATCTTGTCCAGAGACAAGCTTTGGGAAGGTATCTGCACAGCTAGGACACCAAACACTCGAAGGTGCCTTGTTCAATGGAAGAGGCCAGGACAGAACTGGTAGAGTTTTGCTCCCCAGTGAAGGCCACAGCCACTTCCTGCCCATCCTGTCTGTTCGTGGAGAGAGATCCCTGCCTCACCTCTGCCATCTTGGGTTAGGAGAAGTCAAGTTGGGAGCCTGGAATGGTGGTCCAGGCAAAAATGGACTCCAGTGAAAGTTAGGGCTAAGCCTATTGTCCCTTTCAGCCCACTGTCCAAATCTGAGAGTGTCCTGAACCAGTGTTCTTGAGTATCAAAAAACCTCAAGACATTGCTGTCTCATAGTAAGGTGAGGGATAAGCTAAAGGGAACGTCCACCATGACCCAGGGAATGAAGATACTATCAGCAAATAATTTCCCTTTGTTCAGTCTTTCATTTAGAATGAGCCTATCTTTTACAGTACCATCTGAATACCTGTCATTGAAGGAAGCATTTCTATAGCATAGGTTTGTTTTGTACTGTTTGAAAATACTGTCTTTGTAATTATTTTGAACATGTAATGAATATGTGGAATATCTGCTATATGTTAACTTTTTGCAGCTCCGTTTTGAGTGATGAAATTATTAAAAAACACACACACACAAAAAAAAGAAAAAGAAAAGAGTCCCCATCACAATCTCCAAGAGCTCAAAGGGCAGGTCTGTTGAGTGGGCGAATAAGAGACATTCAGCAATTGTGTGGTCAGTGGCTCTCTCTTACCCAATAAATTACATCACAGTCACACGCTTGGTGGTTTCCGTTGACCTGAGATTTATTTTGTTAAGATCGTTCTCTGTTGCTGTTCATTTTTGTTCTGTTCCGTTTTGTTTTGTTTTAAAGTCTTGCTGTGGTCTCTTTGTGGCAGAAGTGTTTCATGCATGGCAGCGGGCCTGTTGCTTTTTTATGGTGATTCCCATTGAAAATGTAAGTAAATGTCTGTGGCCTTGTTCTCTCTATGGTAAAGATATTATTCACCATGTAAAACAAACAAAAAATATTTATTGTATTTTAGTATATTTATATAATTATGTTATTGAAAAAAATTGGCATTAAAACTTAACGGCATCAGAAGCCTATTGTAAATACAAGTTCTATTTAAGTGTACTAATTAACATATAATATATGTTTTAAATATAGAATTTTTAATGTTTTTAAATATATTTTCAAAGTACATAAAATCTGGGGGTTCTGGGTTTTTTTCTCTTCACTATAAAACAAACATGAAAACGTGTTTTATTATAAATACGTGTGTTCCTTGCTTTAAGACCAACCTGACTGGTTTTAGCAGTGGCACAAGCCCTCCAGAGAGGATGCTTACTTCAAAGCATGGGAGGCCAATCCTGCAGCCTGAGCTTCCAAGAAGCTCGAGGATTGGGCCTGTCTTCCACAGTGGAAGGCGGGAGTGTCATTTTCTAGGACACTTGAAAACCTTCCCCTTTGAAGTGATATACTTTCATCAAGTACCAACTATGTATCCTAGCAACATCAGGATCCAGGGCTGGCTGGCTCTATTTGATTATAAAATAACTGTTAAAAAAAAATCAAAGTAGGTTTACTTAGGGATAATGAGAATAAATTGGCCCAAATTTAGAAAGTCAATGACTGAGAGGAAAAAATAAAATTCAATATTTAGAGGCGGGTCATGTACCCTCGGTTTGGAGACGGTGCCATTTGCATTATGTGTTTGTATCCGTTGCACTGATTTAATTTTTGTACATGGAGCCACACAGATTTTATGTCATTGTACCCACAATCTAACAGATTGCTAGGATTTCTAAAAAGATTTGCCTCTGTGATGGCTGCCAAGCCGCTGGGTAATTTAGTTAAAGTGTTTAAAGTTATCACTAAATCTTAGGGAAATAAATGGAAGGATTTTAAATGAGAGAAAGAGCCATTAAGGAAAAAAAGCATCTGTTCCTACTCTTCCGACTCTCCATTTGAACAGTCGACCCATCCCAGAACGTGGTGAACTATATCTGTGCAATGTATCATTTCTATTTCAAACACACACACATGGTTTCCTCTTGTATTGTCTTATAAATAAGGATCAAGAAAGTCATAACAAACATTGACTTGTGTTGTGTAGATGGAGGAGCGGATCGAATGAGATGAATTACTCAATCCTAATCTGACCAGTAAATTTGCAAAGTACTCTAAACTCTCAGAGCAATCCTCCACTGCCAACCAAAGCCTGAACCCAGCCGTGGAATTAGAACTCTAGTAAACTTCAGGCTTAAACAATTTTCATTGTCAGGGAAGACTAAAACATTGTTGAAAGGGTAAAAAAATAAATGACAATAAAAATGTGAATTACTTGAAGTGAAAGGAATTTGGTAAACATTATGAAGTTTTCATTAAAAGATGAGGTCAAAGAAAGAAACAAAAAATAGAGGCATCTACTAAATCAACCAACTTAAAGTTACTGGGAGTAGCCAACTTGTATTCTATTCCCTGGTACAAGCAGTTAAACCTGTTTAATCATTAAGATGCCTGGAAATAACCCAGAGCATTGCTTTGACCTATTGTTTCTTAGTAAGCCTCTGTGGTCATTAGCGGTGTCTATGGAGTTTTCTTTTTATTAGCTGTACTAACTCTGTGACTTCTATCACAGTTCTGAGTGGGAATGGGAACTAAATTTTAGAATAGATCAGTGTGGAATTATCCCTTATTCATTTGGTGGTTACTAGACTTTGGGTAAAATGTCAAACACCATAGGCCCGGCAACCAAAGGCTTCAGACCTGGTCTCAGTTCAGCCAGCACACTGGCAGTACCAGGGCTTATGCCCAAAGCAAGACATACGTTTTCCTCCATATTTTCACATCAAGCCTATTCTGTAAGTCAGTGGAAATTGCTGCATTTTGACAATCCATTGTTAAGTAAAGAGTGTTAATAATTGGGATAAGAAACAATATGTCTACATAAATGTAGGTAGAGTATTTAGCCTAGAAAGAGTCATCATCTATGGATTTGATCAAACTTCAAAATGTTGACCAGCAAAATGAGTGATGGAATCTGGGCTTTTTCTTTTTTAAGCTGTGGGGTGGGTGTTTTTTTTTAACTTGCTTTAAAGGCTGTTGGTTGATTGGCTAGTTTAGGGCAGTGGTTGGCAAACCGTGGCTCTCGAGCCACATGTGGCTCTTTGGCCCCGTGGCATGGGCCACGAAGTTTCAATTGCACTGTACGTGCGCGCCCGCACATGGTATTTTGTGGAAGAGCCACACTCAAGGGGCCAGTTTGCCAACCACTGGTTTAGGGGGAGGGTGAGTAGGGAATCTGACTCTTGTCTACATTAAGCTCACTGGTGGTTGTTTCTGTGAGTCCCCACCTAAGAGCCAGCTCAGTAACTGGAGTAGGTGCAGCCACTCCGAAGCAGCCGGTGTTTATGTCCATCCACGAATGAATGAGCCACCTGCCCATCTGTTTCAAGTATCTATCCCAAGTACCTCCATCTGTTTCCTCAATTCTAGCCACCATTTTAATTTAAGACAACCTCCTTGTTTTTTGATATGTGAATAGATGCCT